CTTGGAATCAGTGTACCTAAGCCGCGATGCCGTTTGGGGGCGCTTGCAATTATGGCGATGTGTTACCGCCCTATTCGTCTACCCGCTGACATCAGCGACGGGATTCCATTTCCTCATCAATTGCTACTTCATCTCGCGCTACATAGCACAGCTGGAAAAGGAGCAATTTGGGCGCAGCCCAGCTGATTACCTCTACATGCTGCTGATAGTTGCCGTGCTAGCTAATATTGGTGGCATGTTATTTAATGTAAGTAAATACATAGTTATTTATGCATTCCAAAGTATATTACATCATCTATTGCTTTTTATAGGTATATTTCCTCATGGACCTGTTGGTGGTATCAACAACATACATTTGGTGCCAACTAAATAAAGATGTTATTGTAAACTTCTGGTTTGGCACACGATTTAAAGCTGTCTACTTACCGTGGGTGTTAGCGATTATGGAGCTAGTATTCCAAGGGTATATGACGTGGTCTTCAATTTGAATCCGATGACTAATCGTCTTTTATTTCTTTTTTTAGGTCTATTGCGTCGTTAATTGGCATATTTATTGGACATTTCTATTACTTTTTCAAATTCCAATATCCACAAGAACTTGGTGGCAATGCATTTTTAGAAACACCGTTTCTGCTGTAAGTATATTTGGCAGCAATAGTATTATGGTAAGCTCTTATGAATTATTTCCTTCCAATCAGAAAACAATATGTGCCGGATGTGAGTGGTGGCTTCAGCGGTTTTGGTGAGCCACCGGTGAGTCGCGCACCTCAGCGACCAGCACCTGGAAATGCGTATTTCGGCAACACTTGGGGACGCGGTAACCAATTGGGACGCAATTAAGTGGTGGTTGAGCTGAAAAGAGGTAATGAAGTGGAATATATTACAATGCAAATTTCTAAATTTGGAAAGATATTATTATGTGGAACAACTTTTATTTAAATCACCATATTTGTAAGCGTGTATGCATACATGCATATGTGAGCAATCAGTGCACTATCATTTGTGCTCTTTCGATTGACATACTTAATTTGCAACATCTCATTTCTCCCACTATTTCTACTGGGTGCACTGAAAACAACGCATTATATGATAATGATATCATCGTCGTACATACATATTTAAATTTAGTATAGATTTTGGTATGTTATTAATATTCACACAATGGTATGTGATGGTAATAGCTTTGTAAATAGTGTAATAATAAAAAAGAACAGATTTATTATATTAACAATTTATTAAAATTAATATGAGAACAAATAATTGGTATCAAAATATGAAGAAAACTACAAATATACATTCAAAACTAGTATGATAGAGTATTTTTCGCAAACTCACCGTGTATAATTTTGGATTTTTCGATGCCACAGAATTTACAGCGTATATGTGCACAACCGGTAATAGTACGTACAGCACTTTATTTGTCGCTTCAATTAATCTGGATAGCTTGCGATCCCAGCCAGCGCCATCCACAAACAAACCCTCAACGAAAACACCCTCTTTTGGTGTTTTTTTGCACTCTTCGATGCCCAGTTTTAGCACATCATTGTACATGGTCACCTGATCCATCAGAGTATCTAACCAATAGAGTTTGGGTCCTCTGGTTTCCGGGACACGTTGGTATTGAAGGAGAAGATATACACAAATATGCCCATGGTCTATGTAGACGTCAGTTAGGGAGGTAAGTATATACTCTGATGGCCAAGCGGTGGTCAGGGCCTTTAACGTAATGGTGATGTACTCGAAACTGGTGGTCTAGGATTAGACACTCTTTCCTCACAGCAACTTTACTCTCTTATAGTCCTAATTTGGTTTCTACGTTGCGGAAAGCTGCATGGCCAACAAATAGCAAGGAAATTTGAAGTTGGGCGCACTTCTGTTGTTATTGTAGTGGCACCACTAAGGCCGGCCTAAATCAATTTGTAAATACATCTATCATTATCGTCAAGCTCAGCTAACGATATGATCAGAAAACGTGCTATTTCAACGTGGTTGAACCGGAAGGATAATGATGTTAGCGGGGTGGGCTTGAGTGGGCATGTGCAGAGGTGGTTGGCGTCGTGAAGTGAATCTATTCATGCCGGGCATTCGTTAGGTATATCGGGTCGAGTATAGATTGGTATGAATTCAACCTACAACAATATACAGAGTGGTAACTGGGCCACTTACGAGCTCCATTTGTTCATTATTGAACTGATGAGTCTCATGTCAGTTCAGCACGAGGTGAACACTAAGATATGTTTACTAGCAATATCCTTCTGGCCTAGGGTGGATGGGGGCGGTCGAAAGAGCTCATTGCACTTACAAAGCCGAAGTTGGCGGGGTTTCTTATAGGTAATTGTCCAATTAGTGTTCCACCGGAAAGGTTAATTGTCTAAAAACATAAACAGACGGCAGCGTTGATCCGGATCAACTCGGGAATTAATTGCAGTTGATCCGGATTAAGACCGAGTTAATCGAGATCAACGCTGCAGTCTGTTTAAGCTTTTACTTGATGCCTCCTGCCGTAAATTACAGAAGAATTATGAGGTGGAATCCCCTCTGTAGTTTAAATTAGGCTGTCACCATTACTTAACCTAACTTATGATCTATGTTTGTATGTGCGATTCCGGGGATCAGCCAAGCTAACCTTACCTAAGCTGCCACCACGTTTAGTAACGGTAAAGAGTCAAACAAGCCGGGTACATACATACGTACATATGTGCATGAGACCGGACCAGAAAAAAAGTTCGCTGTTCACTCCTCCGTCGAAAGTATTTTTGAAAGGTAATTTCGAAAAAAAAAACTTTTTTTAGCCGAACGCAGGGTCGCTTTTTTACATTTTTCGTCGTGTCATCAGCATTTGCAATCGGATCTTACAAATATTATATATCGATGTTCTTATCTCGAGAAGGCAATTTTTTGACCTCAAGTCCGCCATTCTGGTACTTACCCACCACCATATCTCAGTCCTTTACACCCTAATTGGCTTACATGGTCTTTGTTAGATAACGAGCTACACTTTCGTAAAAAATAATAAACATTAATACTAAACATAAAATAATCGAGAGGAATAGCCAAAGAATGCTAAAATGTCTCTTCCCTATTTATCCGTGTATTGAAACACTTTGGTCCAACATTTTCACCAAGAGTTCACGTTCATGATTTTTAGTGACGCATTTGCCTTCTAATATTACGGTTTGGTGGTTGTCAGAAGGCACGTTTGCCGTCTTAAATAGCTTAGCAAAACTGTACATGCACACAAAGATACGTAATAGTTTCGGTGCATTTGAAAGGCGCCACCTCCCCTTTTCAAATAACTCCAATTTTCTCTCAGAGCATGGGATTGATTTCATACATCTCTATACCATTTTCGAGTAATTTACCCTGGGAGGTGTCACGTCCCTTTTTCCAATAGCCCCAACTTTTCTTCATGACCAGTCGCGTTTTATATATCTTGTACATACCAAGTTCCAGTACTCTCCCATGAACACTTTCAGAGATATGCAGTATGAAAAATTCGATGTGTATGGGAAGTGCCACGCCTCCTTTTCCGATAACCACAATTTATCTCCATGAGTATGCGATTGCTTTCATATATCTCCATACCAAGTTCGAGACCTCTTCCATGAACATTTTCCGGGATATGCAGTATGAAAAATTCGGTTTGTATGGGAGATGCAACGTAACTTTTTCCAATAACCGCAATTTTTATCCATGAATATGCAATTGTTTTCATATATCTCCATGCCATATTCGAGTAGTCTACCATAAAGACTTCCAGAGATGTGTAATATGAAAAATTCGGTTTGTATGGGAGGTGCCACGCCCCCTGCACCTAGCGGTATGAAATATACTTTACATCCGATTCTCATACCTACCATATATAACACAAAAAATTTCATAAAGATCGGTCGAGCCGTTTAGGAAGGGTTCGATTTTTATATATACATATATTAGATAAGCACGATGCGAGAAGCATAGAAAAAATTTCGATGAAAAAAAAAATATTTCAATTTCATTTGACTTATGGTTTTGAAATTATAGCTGATAAAATTTTCCACGCCTATGGGATGTGCCACGCCCCCTTTTACAAACCCATTTATATATATTTTACTGTAAGCAGCATAGTTATATCTGCATACCAAATTTCAAGTTCATGTGGCTTATAGTTTCGGATTTATAGCTGATAAAATATTCCACGCCTATTGGATGTGCCACGCCCACTTCTACAAACTCATTTATTTATACCATATTTATTTATATTTATATTATAAGCACCTACCATATATATGACTGTATACCAAATTTCAAGTTCATGTGACTTATGGTTCCGAAGTTATGATTGATAACAAATTTCACGCCTATGGGATGTGCCACGCCCACTTTTACAAAGTCATTTATATATACTCTACTGTAAGCACCTACCATATATATGACTGCATACCAAATTTCAAGTTCATGTGACTTATAGTTTCGAAGTTATGGCTGATTAAAAATTTTCACGCCTATGGGAGGTGCCACGCCCCCTTGTCGAATCCTAATTTTTTACCCTATTATATCAAATATATACAAAATCGAAGGACCTATAATTTTACGCCGCCTCGGAACGGCAAATGAATTTTATGAGAAGCTTTTTACGTGATCTAAGATTAAACCTGCTCTGAAAAAGTGGCCCTAAGTGTCTCAGGATAGTTGAAATTTCTAATCGCAGAATTCTTTAAAAAATTTAAAAAAAAAAACAGTTTTTGTATTTTTCAAAACGGCATTTTTATTCAAATATTTACTGTACTATTTGATAAAAACTACACAATAAATTCAATAAACAAAAAAAAATATAATATGTAGTATTAATAATAGCAAAGTTTTAAAGGTAAACATTACAGACATGTATTATTCAACAATTAATAGATTATGTATGCATGTATGTACGTATGTATATTTTCATTTATTTATTAGTTTTTCCGTCACTACTATGTACCGCTAAAGAAGGTGTTTATTTTTGTATAATTTTACCGTTATTATTTTTGTCCTTTTTTTACATAGTTTTCTGTTTTCTTTTTTTTATTATTATTTAACTGTACATATGAACGTTAGTCTAGTAATTGTGTTACTTTGTGATTTGCGCTTTTTAAATCATAGCTGCTAATTGCTTAGTTTTAAATGAGAACGCAAATAAAGAATAGTATTTTTTTTTAATTTTTTTTGTTGAGTTAGTCAAGAATTTTAAGTTTATGAATTCAGGCATTATCTTAGATTGTTAGAAAAATTCTGTGCTGAAATAGGTATGAAAAATGATTGGATGCATATTGTGTAGAAAGAGCGGTGGGCAGATTCTGTAATCAGTTAGTGCAATTTTCGGATCGCAACTTTTGACATTCATAACAAACGGCGGGGGCAAGTTACGATAGCGATTCGAAAATGTTCGCTAACTGGTTACAGAATCTCTCCACTAGTTTGGTCGTAGCTGGCATGGCTAAATACATACTAGTAATTAAATCAAATTATTTATAAATTTTTTAATTCAAAGTTCAAAAGAGAATTTGCGTTGGTAGTTTCCAAGTGAAAATGACTGTGTTTGTTTAATAGGCTACTAAAATTTTGTAATTTGAACTTGTTACTCTATTATTCTTATTGCTTACTATACTAAGCTAATTAGCAAAAGAAGCAAAACGTTTTAAATGATCTCATTTATTACTAAACACAAAGTCCTGTGCAACTGTTCTACTGTTCACTGCTGCAAGCTTTATTGCATTTATTTATATATACTTTACACGCCGTTGCTCAACCTTAAATACATACGTATACACTAACTCTATTAAACGTTAAATTGTTTGCGAGTCGGTTGTAAAGTAATTTATGCGTTAGAAAAAATATTGGAAGAAATCCCAACTACTAACCTATAATCTCGCTGTGAATTGCGGTGCTTTAAACAATTTTTAATGTATGTATGTACATATGTATGTATGTATGCATGTATGTATGTATATACATGTGTTTGTATATGACATATTTATGTACACAAGTGCGTGCATGCGTAAGTAACTAATTTAACAATTTTTGTTTTGTTAGTATACGAACAAATGATGTATGAATGTATGTATGAATGTGTTTATTTTAAACTTTTCTTTTGAAAATAAGTATATTTATACAAGCTTTCATTAAAAACTATGCAGTGAAAAACTTGGATACATGCAAAATACATTTATGTATATACAACCTGCGCCTGCATTAAACTCAACGTTCATCGAGAAAAATGTGCTGCCGCTGATGTCATTGTTGTTGTTTTTCCTGCCCAAATATTTCACAAATGATTTATGAAGCTCATCTACAACCTAAACATAACACTACTATGTACATCTTAGAAAATAAAACTTAGTTGTTTTATTCCCCCACTGGTACTTATCTCTACTAGTACTATATACGAATTCAATTGTATTAAGGTTTTCGTCGTGGGTGCGCATAAAAAAACATGTGAGTACTTAATTTACACTAGATTACTTACACTACATAATTTTACAAAAGAAATATAATTTATTTAAAACAAATCATTTTAAAAACGTTATTTTCAATCAAACTGTAAATAAGTTATAAACTATAATCCAACCTACTTGAGTTAGTAATAGTATTCTTTAAATATCTTGCTAATGCATTATTTCCCTTTTTTATAGCTTTCACATTAACTAAGTCTGCTGTCCTTTATTAAACAATCTTTATTTACTTTACTTCACCCATAGCTGTAATTCTATGTTGTGGCTATTTACCACTACCGTTTTTCTTTCACAACCACTCCCATACGAGTGCACTAATGCTACATTTATTTTCCAAAATGTGTTTCAAAATTACCTGTTTAAATTTGTTACTTGTTTAACTATTACCCTTTGCCTGCGCCACACACTTTCTCACTACCATTTCTTTCTATTGCTATATGTGTATTTAAAATCAAGAAGTCCGTAAAAAAATATGCGTCAGTACCTAGGCATGCCACTTGCAGTTAATTGTAGCTTAGTTTATCTATTGTATGCCCGACGACGTGTCACTGCCACTGCTAGTAGCGACTGCTGCTGATTTTGACGGAGCAACATTTAACGTAGTCGAGGCACCACTACCGCTAAGCACCTTCGCCGTGTCTTCAGACTCGACTACGATTTCTTCTTCTACGGCAGCATCGTCTGTTGCTGTTACAGTTGCTGTGGCAAGCGTTGTTGTTGCTGTTGGCGCTGTGCCATCATTTTCGTCGAGCAAGATTACTTCACTCTCCTTCACCAGTTGCACCTTTGTGGTAGTTGGGCGCGTGACATCTAAAACGTTAACCCTACTTTTTTCATGTTTATGCGTTGCGTATGTATTATCGTCTTCGATATATTCGACAGCGGTGTTTTCATCAATGTCGGCAACTAAAAATGGAAAAAAATAAAAAAATGTGTGGATTTTCTCAATTGTCTGATCTGGTAACACTAAAATTTTTCATATACATATGTATGTATTTTTTTCCTTTTTACAAATTCTTACCAATTGTCTCGTCAAATCCTGCATCTGTGTCACATTCAGCATTAGCCGAATTATTATTTCTGCTTTCGTTGTTTGCATTTGCTACTTTCATTATTCTCTGCCCCTTTTCACTTTCCTGCTGTGTACTTTTGGTGTACTTTTTCTGTCTGCCAACCACAGTCGCTTCATGGTCGTCTTCATCATCGTCAATCACTTCTATAGGTTCATCATCATCTGTGATTACAGTGGCGGTGGCAGTGGTGTTGTTATATATTTTCTGCATGCGTCCGACTTTTAATTTTACCGTGTCTCTTGGTTTTGTTGTTGTTAACACTTCACTTTCACTTTCAGTGCCACTAAAGATTGTGTATGCTTTTTCGGTCATTTCTTGACCCTCTTCGCCGGCTGTATCCTCGCCTGTTTCTCCTTCGTCTATTTCACCGTCGTCGATTGTGCCTTCGGTCTCAGTACCAGCATCAGTATCACCATCCTCCTGCTCTTCTACAATAACATCCTCGAAACTATCATCGATAATAATGGTTTCACCATCAATCGATTCATTGTCATGCATTTGCTGTTGCTTTTGTGAACTATGCTGTTTGCCAGTAGGGCTACTTGACCGCCGATGATGTTCTGAGCGTTTTGAGGCTGCTTTTGTTGCTGCTGCAACTGCAGTTGCCTGATCCAATTCCATTTCCCAATCGGTAGCACCCAAAATTATTGTGGACGGTTGCTGTTGCTGTGCACTCTCGACGAGCGATGTTGGCAATACCGTAACTGTATCGCCGATATTATTGCCCATTGTGATATTGGTACCATCGCCACTATCAACTATAATTGGCATATTAAGAATATCAACTGGAGTATCTTCGGTAATCATTTGATTGTGTTCCAATTGTATTGCACTGGCATTGCCGGCAGACACCGATGAGGCTACATTCAACTTGTTGGCAGCTTCAATGAAAGTTTTTGTCTTATTTGAAGTACTTGAGCTTAATTGTGCTGGCGACGAACCAATTATTACTACATTTGGTTTCCCTGCATCTGAGTTCTGGGTGGTTGGCTGCACTTTGCTAGCAACAATACCACTACCAACACTCGCACTTTTCGACAACGTTAAGGTGCCTGATGTTGGGCGTCCACCAGCCGATGGCACAAATATCATATTGCCTTTATTGCCACTAAAGGTAAGAGTACTTGTTGTTGCGATTGATTGCGTGTGGGCCGTGTGGAAAGAACCAGTTAAATTGCCAGGCGAATTCAGTGGTGCCGGTATGATTTGCACTTTCTGTATAGCAATACGCTGTGGTTGATTTGTCGCTGACGTGCCTGCACCTGTGTTGCTAGTGCCCACAACTGCGTTGGATAAGAGTTTATGTGAAACAGCGCTTTGTAATTTGCCTTTGGAAGCCGCATCCAAAGTGGCAGGTTGTATGAACACTTTTCCATTTGATGAATGGCATATTTTTACGGGGGTTCGTATGCCAGTCGTTGATATATTCTTTAGTTGATGTTGTAAGAAAGGTGATGTTGTTGTCAATTGTTGCTGCTGTAGACCCGAACTGCTGATGGAAGTAGCACTTGTAGTGGCATTTGCTGGTGCCAACTTGATGTTGCTTATGATTTGGGGACCAGAATTGGAAGTAGTAAAGGTGCCAGAAAGCTGAAAGATTAAAAAGCAAAAACAAAAGAGATTGAAGAAATGAAAAATATATGTATGTAAGTACTTCAGTTGCAAAAAAAAAAACACTTTAGTGGCAAGTTCCTCAATTCTTAAGTAAAACTAAAGCTTTTTAAGCCATTTTTTTTTAATAAACATATTTGTTGTTTCTTATAATTTAGCCCCCAAAAAATAAGAACAAGTCTCGAAAAAATCTCCCAAAGGTCTCGAGTAATAAAATATGAGAAACCACAAAAAATCAAAAAACAACCAAAATATACGAATAATCCTGAGAAAAGTCCGAAAGATTTCGAAAAAATGTCAACGGTCCCTAAAAACCGGAAGAATATTGAATGTCTCGAAAAATAATAAATACATTAAGAGGTTCTATATAAATCTATATAAAACACAAAAAATCTCGACAGAGTTCCCAACAGGAAGGATCCTGTAAAACTCAAGATTCCTATCATATCCAAAAAATAACCTAATTTCTAAAACTCAGCAGACGTGCAAAATTTAACATCAAAAAATATCTCACTAGCCCATTGTTAATAGAAATCTTTTCTAATTAAAAGCATATGGCTGCAAATTTACAGTATCAGAATTGCGTTTTCTGGTCAATTTTTACGATCTGTAATGTAAAGCCATATTAGCACTTACCTTTCCGACGCTGCTAGTGTTCACGCCAATTGTGCCCGCTTTGATAAACTGTGATTTGCGGAAGATCGGAGCACCCGAAGTTAGTGATGAGAACAGTGTACTGCCAGCAGTGCCACTGCTTTGATTGGGTGAGAGCAGTAGTGTTGAGCCCATATTTTTCAACGAAACATTCGGACCACTTCCGCTGCCGGCACTTACAAGCGTGGCGCCATTATTGAGCGTTTCAATTTTCGTAATATTGACGGTATTGCCGCCGACGCTTACGCTGCCACCAGCGTTAGCACCACCACCACCTGCCACCACAGTACCGGCACCACTAAGCACAACTGGCAATATTTTTGTGGTCAACACTTTACCTTGTGCCGGTGTAGGTGTCGATGTTGCTGTTGCTGTTGCAGTACCCTCGTGGGCTATGCTTGCGCTATTTGTGCTTTGAATTTGTATGACTGCCGGAGGCGTATGCGTCGGCACAGCAGGCAAAGTTTGTGAATTAGTCGGATTATTATTGCCTTCAATTATGCTAAACACCTGTCCGGCGGATGTCGTGTTGCCCTCATTGCCATGCGTACCTATACCAGTAGCACTGATAAATGTAGAATTTGTAAACTTTTTTGTGGGAAGCTTGGTGCCGGGTGGTATAATAGTTGTATTGACTGCACGCAATTTCGTTGCAGCGGCTGATATTTGCGGCAATGTCATTATCTGCGGTGCGGATATCGATTGCATTGGTAATGTGGACGCTGTTGATACTACAACCCCGGACGCAACTGATGCTGCTGCTGCTGATGAGGAGCCTATCAAACTTGGTGGTTGTTGTGGTGGCAGACGATCTTCAAGTATAATCTTTTGCACAGGTGTTGAAATAAGTTGCTTCTCTCCTCTGCTATGCACCATTGTTGGAATAGTAATTGCTGCGCTACCACCGCTGCCCACAGGTGGTGATGTGGCAGCAGTCATGTGATGAGCATCAATACGTGTAGCGCTAGCATTCATAGATAATGGTGTGCCGGACGCTGTTGTTGGCGCTATCACGGTTGGTGAAACTGCGCTCGCCGGCCCCGCCGACAATACAGGGGAAGTAATAACATTTGGCAATTGTAATTTTGTCAGATTCTTGGTTATATCCTTCTTCGAAGCAGCAATTTGTGGCTGTGCGTAATTCTGTTCGTTATTCAACTCATCTGCGCCCTCACCTACCACATGTGAAATATTGCGAATGGCTGTTTGCGGCAGCAAATGTTGATGTTGTTGTTGTTGCAGTATTTGCTGTTGTTGTTTTTGTTCTTGCATTTTAGAGTTCGATTTTCGGCCACTTTTAGCTGGTGTCGCCTGACGCTTCCCAGGCGTTACAGGCAATGAAACATTTTGTCCGGCTGCCACGGGGAATTTTTTCGTTGCCAGTTTTTGTTTTGGCATTTGTGGTTGATTCAAACGATGCTGTGGGGATTTGCTGTTATGGTTGTGATATAATTTGCGAATATTGCTTGCGCCGCTGCTGGGTGAAGTTGGCTGAGAACTATTTGCTGTTATGTGATGGAATTGCTTTTGATGCTGCTGTTTACTGGGCGAAGAATCGCTAACGATGCGTTTCTTGTTGCTGCCAGTGTGGCAGTCGGATATGTTACGCTTCAGGTTTTTCTTATTGCCGGATGGAATATCTGGCATTTTGAACTTTTTTTTTAAATAAAAATAATGATACAAATTAATTCAAAGTGTTTGTGCAAGTTTGATTATCATTTGATGAACATGGACAATGGGAATACATACAACCATAGTTGAAAGTAAAACTGCTTAATAACGAATTTTAAAAATTTATATACTATATAGCTAAAGCTCTGAATACTAACCTCAATACAATATAGATACATATATGTTTATAGAATTGTAATAGTTCGTTTGGTTTGTGGAACAGCCACGCATAAAAAAACAACATATCGCACCGTCTTCAAAAGAGTCACAACTCAAAATAATACGTTTGTCAGAAAATGAGAAAAACTATTTCTTGGCACAAGATAATCCTATGGACAAGGGCGACTTTAGCTTTGGTTTTTTTTTTTTAATTATAACAAAAATTTGCTCCAGCGTTTGCTGAAAGGTAAATAAAAGCTCTGTGTACACTTTTAGCGCATAATCTCAAAAATGCCAAATTTTGAGTTGTGACTCTTTTGGAGACGGTGTGCGATATGTACATGTACATAACTCTTAAAACAAACATACATACGACCTCATCTACATACATACATATGTATATCTACATATGCATATACATTTATTTAATAATGTTCTTATGATCGTAACCAAAAATTCAAATTATTAAATTATTATTATGTATGTCAAAAGAAACTATTATGTACTGCAAAAGGTTGTACTGATATTCATTTGCGCGTTAACACACGTGTATACATATATATGTACATATATGCGTAGATATGTATGGTTGCATTCAATAAATATGAATTCATTTTTTGTATAAATCTAGAATTAAAGTTTAAAAGTACTATTCTCTCCTAGATCTATGTACCTATACACATGCAGACTGTACTTTTAATTTACTATCCCCGCAGCATTATATAATTCTAAACATTTATACATACATAAACACAGATATATGAACAACTTACAGGATCATCAGTGACCACATAGACTTCTCGTTTTGTTTCCCAAGCCTCCACACCATCGCGCTCAGCAATTGCATTTGCGGTATTGGCATTTTCAGCAGCAGCAGCAGCTGCCGTATCAGTAGGATAAGGTAGTTTAGCATTTTCAGAAGATGTCTCTGCGGCCACATTATTAGCAATTAAGGCGAGCGCTGTTTGTGGCGCCACACGCGGCAACATCGGATACGAACGACGTCCTTCTCGCGACCATTCCTGCCATGTGTTTGGACCAGAAATTCTGTGCATATGAAAAAGAAAGGAACACAATATACATATTTGCGTATTAACATCATGTAGTCACTTTGCAGAGGCACTATAGTTTACACAAAATTTTCATCTTATTTCGTAACTGTGCGAATCAAATCTCCTTAACACTTACGCTTCTGCAATGGTACACAATTGTTCATCGTTTGCAACACGACGAGCTTCAGCACGATGACGCTCTTGCGAGATGTGAAATATGCCACGCAACTCCTCAAGAAGTTTGGCCTTGTTTTCGCTGAGGCCACCCTGAGCGCGAAACACACTAATCACATGCGAATATGATTCCAGCTCTGCAAATAGTACAATTAACAAAGTTCAATAGTTAGTAAACGTTGCACAATCATAAAACACATAAATCCAAAAAAAAAGGATCATCTTTTGAGCGACGGGTGCTGCACTACGGTCGCTTATAGTTCCTGATGCACCAGTGCTTTTTCGTTGGATTGCCACTTTCTTACCAAGTCTTCTCAACATGCCCCGACACTCGTCTCTAGTCATTTGCAACGCTTGCGGCCACATCCTGCACGAATATTATCCACGCTGCGTTTTTGCAAATTGTTTTTAAACACACACTCGATTTTGGAAAACAATTTTCTCAAAAGTTTTTGCAAATTGGAGCGAAAAATTCACTGATGCTGCTTCTTCATTCGAGATTGGCAGCCATTAATGTTTATTTGTCAAAAAAAAGGCAGTACAGTACAAAAAATGTCAAAATGGAAATGTTTGGAAACGTCGAAATGCATTGTAGGGATGGTGTGGAAAATTAATTTTAAAGAAAAATTTTTACGTCAATACAAAAGTTTTTTCGGCCAAAGCATATTCGAGTTTAAAAAGCAACAGCACATTTGCTACATTTATGGACTCCCGGTACCTAAAAATCTCTAATATCTGCGTTCAGAATTTTAAATCAACTCAGGAAATAAAATTTATTTATTAATTTTTGTTTTCTCAAAAAAAAAAATGATTTTCAAATGTATGTATGTATTCGAAATTGAAATCAGTTTTTTAGTTTGGTTTTTGCTTTAAAAGTTGCTGGTTTTAAGATTTATTTGTTTGCTAAATATTTTTACAAAAATAAAATAAATTAAAAAACAATGATTTTTTCCAAGCTATGTAAATTGTAATTTAACCTACATTTTATTGGCTGAATATGGGCTCAAAATATAAAATTCAACCAGTATAAGCCAGGGATCAAAGTATACATACATACTTTGAAATCAAGATTTTTTTCAAATGAATATAAATTTCTTTAGATTTATTAAAAATTTATGTTCTTTGGTCAAATTTAATAGTTTTTTGTCAGTTTTTACGATTAAAAATATTCCTCATTTTGGATTTTACTTTTCTTCGACTAATTTTAACCGTTATGGTAGAGACTGCGTCTATATGACCGATTTAAATCTTATATTTTATATAAAATTAAATCTGACAATAACGGTTATGACATGATCGAAGGAATAAAAATTGTCCAAAAAAATATTAAGTAACGGCTAAATTTGATCGGAAATATATAAATCCAATTTGAACGTTTGAATTATATGTTTTATTACAAATCGTTGCAGTTCCTGGTAAAAGTAATTAAGAACCTGTTAAATGAAAATGTAAAATATAGGTGAATGCCTTATTTTTTACAAAAATGTCACGTGTGAAGTGAGGGTTAAAGAAAACTTTGACTGATACAAGGCATATTAAGTCTATGTTCAGACACGGAAACTTTTGTTGCGGCAACTCGAAGCTTGTTGGGGAAAGAGCGACGAGGAAAGAGGACGGGTAACGAGTTGCTCGTACTCGGGCAGCACGCTTTGTGCCAAGGCGCATCAATAGAAGGTGGTGTTGATTGAACAGCTGATTGGATATTTTTGTCTCTACACTAATACAAGGGAATGTCATTCAAGACGAAATGGCGTAACTTTAGGATGTCAACAAAACCAACTGGCGACTGGCAGCACCAAAAGAGAAATCGCCGATAACAACAACTCTAGTTTCCGTGTCTGAATGCAGAATAATGTGCCTTGTACTGATAAATATTTGTTGTCAAATTGGTCATCATGTGCAGTTTTTTTGTACAATGCAGTATATAGGCTCGATCACCGGTGGTGCAGTGTAAAACATAAATAAAACAATTGATAAGTGTGATGACCAGTAGCGTAGGAAGCATTTCGTCTGTTTACACAACAAATATACATACCAAGGTGCGAGCGCAACACAATCGATCTTGAGCCCAAAATCTTTCGACTGGTTAAACAATAAAGTGATACAAATGCGATATGTTTCGGACTGACAAATCCAACAAATTCGACTTGGGTGAATTCAAGAGGAAGCTTAAACGTATAGCAGATGGCAGCATCCTGTCCTATCGACGGATATTTCTGCTTCTATTGGGGGTATGCGTATTTTTCTATATTTTGCCACCAATTTTCCGCTATCTGTTTATGAGTGCGCCGGAAGTAAAGGGTGAGTTTTCATGTTTTTCAATATCTATGTATGTTTCGTCTATTATGTGCTAATTTATTGCACTTCCCAGATCCACATGTGCAGTGCATGGATGATCGCTTAACTCCATTTTTTCTGCAAAACTATGAATTCGATGCCAATATACGTCATGTGCCACCGCTGCCTGGAGAACGTAATTTCATACCTTACGTAGGCAATGGCTACATTGGCACGGAAGTGGCACATGACGCCTCCTTGAATATCAAATCCGGTCGTTCTATGCAATTGCCTATGCAATTTCACCCGGTTGTCTCGGTAGCGCAACGCAATGAAGCTGGGCGGGAAGCGACGGTAGTTGAGTACCTGTCTGGAGTTGTGCATAGGTGAGCATTACAGAAGGGCATTCATTAGTAGTAAAATTTTTTCTCTTCAACTAGATTCCAATGTTTTTCAAATTACTTTGTTGCCTATACCTACTACGCACACCGTACACATCCGAGCATCTTAATGCAGGAAATTAAAATAACAAATACTAAAAATACTATAGAGGAAGTGGAACTAATTTTTCCACGTATTTATTTTCAAACACCCACTACACATGCCATCAAATTAGGGTAAGTATAATTTAGCAAGTTACCGCACTAAGCCAGTGCTTGTAATAAATAAGTATCACTTTGCAGTTCATCAACACAATCAACTGTACTTAGAGATTTTGAAGTAACCACTGGCACCATTTTAGTCGATGCTGACGATCCCTCTAGTATTATTGTAGTGAGCGTCGTTAAACCACAAATGAACCGCATTGTGCAGCTGAAGAAGCGTGGCGCTATCACCATAGTATTTCCTATCGCTGTACATTATTCACAGCCTATCACGCGTGACAAATTTTCGGAAACGTCACAAGATGTTGAAAACAAGGCGGTACAGGCTATGACAAAAGTTTTGCAAAAATTACAAAACAAACCAGACACACAAATAAATACGCACACATTTCGCCAAGAGCATGTTAACGTTTGGTCTGATTTATGGGCCACGGGCTTCAGTATTAGCACATCTAAAGCGGAGAATAGTTTGAACGGTGATCGTATTAATGCTTCCATGTACGCAGTGCTATCTCAAACACGCAGCTATGAATATGAAGAGTTTGTTTCGTTGAAATCGCCTAGTAAACAAGAAATAGCCAAGGCATTGACTTATGCCGAAGGCTGTTATGATTCATATTACACGTTACAAGCGGAAAATCTTTGGTTGAGTGCAGAATCTTTGGAAAAACTGAACAATTTGGTATCATCATGGATGGTCACTTTGGAGAAACAGGTAACGGGGGGCGCGTGCCTAACAAAGAAATCACCACATATGAATAAGAGCAAGTAACAAATGTCATACTACTAATTGCAGGGTTGCCACAATCTGATACGTGCTGGCGCTTCAGGTGTAATACAAGCTATGGTTTTGAGCTTTGGCAGTTTTCGTTTCAGCAAGCAACACTTGGAGTGTAATATGCATCCAAAGTTTCTACATCGCGACTTTCACTTTCGTCGCTTGAACTATGGCAATAAAACGCATCTAAATGTCTCCATCACAGTTACCGACGATAATAAAGCGGTAATTAATGTAGCGCTTGATCGTTCAGATCGTAGTTATTATGCCTGCGACGGTGGTTGCTTGGATGAACCAGTTTTGCTTACGTGAGTTCTTTACAATTGGGAAGTAGAAATGTTATTTTCTTAAATAACTAACTTTATATGCTTGCAGTCAAAGTCGCCGCCAATTTCCGGTAAAATTAACCGAACCGCTGACTGCAATTTTATATATTACAGAAGATAAACAACACATGGAGGAGCTCCACAAAGCTATACACGTTAAAGAAGTAGCCGAAGGTATGTACAAATTGCATGCATAACAAAAAGTTAATTTGAAAGTATTCTAACTTTTTTTTGCTAATAGCTCCTGCACATGAGCAACATCTAATTGCGTTACATAGGCATGGTCATCAATTAGGCGGTTTGCCTACACTTTTCTGGGTATCTATTTGTGCAATAATTATAGTATTTCATGCGTTCCTATGTAAATTAATTATTAAGGAATATTGCGAACCTTCGGAAAAGTTAAGATATCGCTATAATAAACCATGACTATGAAAAATGGGTGTGTCCATTGTATGTATATTACAATTATAGTTAGAGTAAAACCCTTTGAACTTAAAATGTATGTATATATCAATTGCTCGTTGTGCTTTTTTCTTAATTTTTTTAATATGCGTATGTAAACGTAAACATACATTATTATATAATTTAGAACATTTTTCATTGTATTCACGAAAAACTTGCAGCTTAATTACTTTTATTTATATAAAACGATATTGCGCTATTAAGATATTTTAGCGAACTAGTTTATACGTGCTCAATGTATGAATAAAACATTTTTAGAAAATTTAGTATTTCTCTTATCGTCATTGCGAAAAGTACTAGCTTATAAATTTAGAGCTTTAAAAGGGAAGTGAAAAAAACTGCTCAAAAGATGTTAATAAATCTCGCTTTTTGAATGAGTGTAGCTGATGGCAAACTAGCGGTTTAATTAACAAACGCACTTAAAAAGATGACTTGCAAAATAATTAAATATATTGAAAATCGGTCCATTGCATTGAAATTACAATAGTACGTAATTTTTCTTGTGAATTTAGCGAGCATGACAATAAAATTAACAATGATATCAATCGACAGTTTTCTATATTTTAATGAAATAAACATGGATTAGCACTACCTAGTATGTTGTAAATTAAATATTTAAATGCAAAAAAAAAAATAATTTAATAATTTTTATTAAATTCCATTATAAAATATGTACTATAAGAAAATTAATAATACATGTTGTAATTCATTGAAATTAATAACTCTATCAAACCCATTTAGCTTCATTTATTTTCTTCAACTTTCTGTAAATACTTGTACGTTGAAATTACTCTTTCATCACAGCGTGTATAGCCTCTGCCACATATGCAATATTCTTTGTAGACAATGCCACTACTGCAATGCGTCCATCCTTCATCATATAAATACTAAATTCCTTAGTTAAACGCGCCACTTGCTCTGGCTTCAATCCCGTAAAGCAAAACATACCAATCTGTTTGGTAATATGCTCCCAAGAGCGTTTGGAACCGAGCGCAATTAATGTCTCCGTTAATTGTTTGCGCATATACATTGTACGATTAGCCATGGTTTTCAAATCTTCCAACCACATGCAATAAAGCTCGTTATCATTTAAAATCTCCTTCGCTATACGCGCGCCATGTATTGGTGGACTAGAGTACATGGGCCGTATAATGGGTTTCACATTGGATGTTACACGCTCTGCCTCTTCCTTTGTAGAGCAAACTATAGTTAACGCGCCCACACGTTCTCCATAGAGGCCCATGTTTTTGGCAAAACTTTGTGCCAAACAAAATTGATGTCCATCGGAGGCAAAAATGCGTATAGCTTCTGCATCTTTATCGATATCACCGCTAGCGAAGCCGAGATATGCCAAATCAAAGAAGGGATATAGATTGCGAGTCTTAATTATTTGTGATATTTCACACCATTGCTCTCTGTTCGGATCCACGCCAGTTGGGTTGTGGGCGCAAGCTTGCAACAGTACGATTGAATTTTCCGGCATTTTCTAAAACATGTACATATGTATGTAAGTTTCATAAATGTGGATTACATATGTATGTACATATATTGGAAAATCAAATTAAAAGTACTCACACGCAAAGAATCAAAAAGGCCTTGCGCATTCAATGCAAAAGTTTCATTGCTATAGTAACTATATGAAGCTACCTTGAGGCCAGAGTGCATGAAAAGTGGTCTATGATTAGGCCATGTGGGCGTAGGCAAATGCACTAAGCGTTCGCACTTCCAGAAGATACCCAAAAATGCGGCACCTATACGCAACGAACCTGTGCCACTGAGGCACTGCGAAAACGTTGGATATTTTTTAAAAACTTACAAATATTGCTAAGCATACATAAAAACACTCATACCTGCGCAGTTGAATTGCGTTTGTCTTGTAATATTTCCGAATCCTTGCCAAGAGCCAACTCAATTGACCTATTATAGAATTCGGCCAATCCAAGGATAGGCGCATACTCCTTATTCATTTTTTTTGGAAAATATGCGTTTTTCAGCCTTATGAAGTGGGGCATAAAACCAAATGCAAAGGGAGAAACAACGTCATAATAAGTAAATACATACATATGTACATATGAACATTCTTATATTGTACTACAAACCTCTTCTACACTAGGCAACACCCAAGGCTGTGCATTGTCATCGCGATAGGCGCCAACGCCTAAATTAACCTTTTTGGGGTTTTTGTCTTTAAGATAGGCCTCAGTGAGACCGAGTATAGCATGTGGTGGTGCCATTTTAACATCTGCGAACCAAGATCTGAAATATATTTCAATTGATTTCAGATACGAACTGCTGGTGAACGCACCTTGCACTCCTTTTGGCTTACTTATAACGTAGAGAGTTGGAAGATGTGGCTTGAAGATGAAAAGTGGTGGTTTTAGTTAATTTTAACATCTTCCTCTGCTTCCCGTTTTTTCCCCTGTAGTTTGCAAATATGTATGTATGTACCATGATAAAAACATAGCAAAGTAGAACCGTTCTCTCAATTTGTCGGCCATGATTTTTTTTTGAAGTTTGCCAACATTTTAAAATCATATAAAAGTGAAAATAAAAAATTGAAATTGTTCGAAATTGTTGTTGCTTGAGATTGAAAATGAAAATGTGTGTGTGAGTTTGTGAGTAAATTTAAAAATTAAATTGTTTGAAAACGTCAAGAATTTTAAAAGTGACTCTCAGCGGTTCTACCTTACTATATTTTTATCATGGTATGTACTTATATTGAGTTTTTTTATTTGAAGTTTGTTTTAAAAAAAAAAAAATCCAAACCTAAACCCAGTATAATTCTAACTGATATCAAGTTTTTGTTTTATTGTTATTTATCTTTTTTTACTCAAATACGACTTTGTTCGATATTCTTAGTTCACCTAAGAATTCCATAAGGAAAAATAGTGTCACAAAACTTATTATAAACGTTTAATGTCCGAACGTAGGCCAATAATAGATAAATTTTAGGAAAATGCAATGATAATGTAACTAAAATTTTACAAGAACATTACAATTCACTTGCCAGATTCCAGAGTATAGGCAGGATGGCCAGTAGTTTACTGCAAACTAACTTCGAGTATTTTCCATAAAAATTGGCAGGCATGCATTACCTAAATGGCGTTCGAGGCTTTAAGTGGTTAAATATTCCAGGAAAAATTGTTGCATTTTGCTCAATACGTTCTTTAGCAAATCAAAATTTCCGTCGAAAAACGGGTGATAAAACTTATCTAGCTTCATTATTAGTAGTAGTTTTTATAGTATTTTCACGAAATGTGTTAGCCCTGATTTTCACCTTTTATCCGACATGCATTCAAAAATAATCGAGTTATATTTGGCAAAAATATTGCCAAAAAGGTCGATGAAACTATACTTTTTCACTGAAAATTTTGTACTGAAATAGTTTTTATTTTATTTTTTTGTTTGTTCCCATGTCTCGTCACCTGAGACAAGTCCATTTTTTTGAAATTGTTTCGAATTACCTGCCATTCTGCATCAAAAACTAAATTTTGAAAAAATGGACCTTTAGGTAACGATATGTATGTGTCTTTTAAATGATTTCCATTTGTAACAAGTAGCGATAATTTGCCCCCACTTCTGGTATTTGTGTTACTCTCTATGGGCTATTAAGCTTCCAAACAAAAAAAAAAAATTAATAGAAAAGGAAAATTAAAAAAAAATATATGTATATATATTTTATTTATGCCCCAAGCTGTGGAGTGACGCTAACGCCTTCGCGGAAGATATAAGAATCAGATATCGCGCGGCTATCCACTGTCGAAAAGTGGAAAGAAAAATGTTACACATATTTTTTATTAACATGCAAAATAATGACGTTAGAATAAAAAGTCGTAAACAAGAAATGTAGTCGGAGAACCGCATGCTAAGGTTAAGTGAAAGGTCTTTAGAGTAAATTGCGCTACCAATCTTATTGTCGAGCTTTGACCCGTCCGTAAGGATGGCGGTAGACCTTGGATCTAAGTTCGAGTGGTTTACCAGTCCCTTCTGCCTTGAATTATGGTAGAACTTCTATTTCTATGATTCTATTCTATGAAAGGATTCTTAAAAAGTCTATGAAGTGATTCTTAAAGGGTCGTGAACTTGTCCCGAAATGATCTCGAACAAGTTTTGAAACGGTCCGGCAATGGCCCCTTACTTGTCCCAAAATGATCCCGAACTAGTCCCGAAATATTCCTGTTATACTCTTGAACTAGTCCCGAAATGTTCCTGAAATAGTCCCGAAATGGTCCTAAACTAGGCCCGAAATAGTCCTGCCCTACTCCCAAATGGTCCTGAAATAGTCGTAATGATCCTGAACAAGCCCCAAAATGGTTCTAAAATAGTCCTGAGATAGTCCCGAAATAACTCTGAACTAGTTCCAAACTAGTCCCGCAATATTCCTAAAATAGTGCCGAATTAGTCCCGAAATGGGCCTTACCAGATCCCAAAATTACTCGAACTAGTCCTGAAATAGCCCTTAACTAGTAGCGCACACAGAAGAAGCAATTACATAAGAAGCAGTTACAAATTTTCTGCTAGGTTAACGCAAATTCTACGCATACCGAGAGCTAAGGTGTTTACACATCAAAAAACCTTACCATAACCTTAAGTTTCCCATCCTATTAAAATAACGTAGACTGTATTTTGGTTTATGGATCTTTAAAGTTATTTTAATTTTATTGAAATTTAAATGCCTCTATTTTCGTTTATATTTCATTGATTGTTTTGGGCGAATCGTAATGCATAGGTACTCAGTGTTACATGTGTGTTTTCTAAGTTACAAAGATTTTCACTTTTTACTTATTAAAATTCTAAGAAATGTTCTATTTTACCGGCAACCTGGCCGATTGCTTAGATGTGCATTAAAATTAGTTCTATTAATTTTTTATAATTTTCTCTATTTTTTTTTT